TTCCCACGTGCGCAGTAGAGACCTAAAAATCAGCTGGCTGGTGGGAAATGTGTGCGCATGCACTGTGGGGGCTGAGCTGGGCGACAGCTCGCGTGCCCACAGGAAGGGCTCCGTGTGCCACAGGTTTGCCATCCCAGTTCTAGAATGTCTGTCCCCTGTGATTCTCAGGTTAAGGTTCTGCCACAGGCATGTGCTGGGAATTTGTTGCCCAAATGTTTATCAGTTCCAAATTTTAGAGTTTCATATCTTCCCCTTCCCCAGGGACAAAAATTAAGAGGAAACAACGCACCCTTCCTTGCTCTCATATCTCATTAGAGGGTTGATCTAAATAAATAAATTTGTACTCTCCTTATGGATGGGGAAGTCCCTAAAGCAGGGCATCCAGTCTTGGCAATTTTAAGACTTGCCGACTTCAACAGAAACAGATGCTGGCTAGGGAATTCTGGGAATGAAGGTCCACAAATCTTAAAAGTTGCCAAAGTTGGATACCTCTGTCCTAAACCTCTCTGTATGTTGAGGGCGAAAGATAAAAAATCCCATTGTGAGGTCTCCAGGTGATCCAACTTTAGGGTGAGTTTATGTTGTTGGTTGCGAAGTCGTGTCTGACAAAGGCCCTTCCTGATCTCTACCTCTGGAGTCCCATTTAAGCTGAGGCCTACTGCTTTGGTGACTCCATCCAGCCACCTCATTCTCTGTCGTCCCCTTCTTCTGCCCTCAATCGTTCTCCAGTGAGTCTGTCCTTCTCATGAGGTGGCCAAAGTCTTTGAGTTTCCTCTTCAGGATCTGGCCTTCTAAAGAGCAATCAGGGTTGATCTCCTCTAGGACTTACAGTCCAAGGGACTCACAGGAGTCTTCTCCAGCACCAGAGTTCACCGCTCTTGGCACTCAGCCTTCCTTATGGTCCAACTTTCACAGCCATCCATTGCAGCTGGGAAAACCATAGCCTTGACTAGACACACTTTTGTTGTCAGGGTGATGTCTCTGCTTTTTAGTATGCTGTCTAGATTTCCTCCCCAGGAGCAAGCGTCTTTTAATTTCTTGGCTGCAGTCCCCAATGGGGAAGCCAGAGTTACTCAACAACCATGTTACTAACTTAACAACTGGAGTGATTCACTTCACGACTGTGGCAAGGAAGTTCGTAAAATGAGGCAAAACTCACTTAACAAGTGACTCACTTAGCAACGGGTATTTTGGGCTTGCTTGTGGTCGCAAGTCGAGGATACCTGCATTCTCCATCATCATCTTGGCAACGGGGAGTGTAAATTTGGGGACTGAAATTCGCCAGCTGTGTGGTAAGAAGCCACATTCTCCAAAAAGAGGATTGGTAGAACGAGCATTCAAAACTACATTTCCTTTATGCTTCAAATTACGACAGAGATGATTGCTCTCCAATTACCTATTTAACCATTTCCCCCACGCGTTGTCTTCCAAGCTAGAATTTGTTGGCAACCTTTGGAGTCCTCTGGGAGGTGATGCAATGCCTTTGGGGATCACATGTGTGCCTGGATTTTTCTTCTGCCACTTAGATCAAGGTTTAGCGCAGCACTGAGCCGCCCCCAGTCACACCACTCTGAAGAGTAAACAAAAGAGTCACAGTAATTGGTGTGAGGAGTCTAGCATTGGTATAGGGAGCAGCTGAAAGGGCCATGTTTTATTTTCCCTTATGTGCTCTCCCAAAGGCCTATTCCAACCAGCGGTGGGTTTCACATTTTCTTACCACTGGTTCCCCGCATGACCGCTCGCTTCACGCATGCACCTGGCCTTCCGCGCATGTGCTTTGCTTGCGTGCGTTACCTCCACATATGCGCCTGGCCTCAAAAACGTGCCTAAATAGGACGGCATAGAGCCGGGGCGGGTAGGTAGGCCCACCCATGATTTCCGCTACCGGTTCGGGCGAACCAGTCTGAACCGGCTGAATACCATCTCTGATTCCAACCCTTTAATTGCTAAGGTAATTAGCAAGCCAGAGGAACTAATAATGAACTGGGCCATCCTGTTTCCATGATAATTCTTGCTTGTTCTAAGACCGTGATGGCAAAGCTATGGCACGTGTGCCACAGGTGGCATGCAGAGCCCCCTCTACGGGCACACAAGCCGTTGCCCAGTTCAGCTCGACCACGCATTTGCTCGCGCCTCCTGCCGACCAGCTGATTTTCAGATCTGCCGTGCATAGAGGAGATGTGCGTGCATGTGCAGGGGGTGGTGGAGAGTGACACGCATATGCGGGGGGGGGGTCGTGTGGGCATGCAGGGGGGGACGCGGGGGGGGGGGTGCCCCTCTCACGCGCTCTGTTTTTTGCCCCAGGAGGCTTCAGGGAGGACTGCTAGGCCCAAAATAGGGTATGGAGGGTCACATGTATGCACTGGAGGCGCACGGGGGAGTCACATACCCATTTAATGACCCTGCTTGCCACCATTGTTAAGTGAATCACTGCAGTTGTTAAGTTAGTAACACGGTTGCTAAGTGAATCTGGCTTCCCTAGTGACTTCGTTTGTACGAAGGACTCAGAAGGTGACCCCGTGACCCCAGGGCATTGCCACTGTCATAAATAAGGGTCAGTTTGCCAAGGGTCAAATTTTATCACCTCACAACTCTAGGGCAACTGCAATAGTTGTCAATGAAAAATGGCCATAAGTCACTTTTTCTACTGTTGGTGTAACTTTGAACGGTCACTAAATGAACTGTTGTTAAATGGAGGACTACCTACACAAAATAAGTGTTAACCTGTGTGTGCCCCTAGTATGAAAGCCAAAAGGATCTGTGTCTTGTTCTCTGTATGCTAATATTGATAGATTAGAATAAGGTAAATTTATAGATTACTATTAACATTTTTGGAAATGCTGGATTGGGACAAGGAGGAATCTTGGTGATCATTTGAGAATTACCATATTTTTCGGAGTATAAGACGCACCCTTTTCCCTCAAAAAAGAGGCTGAAAATCTGGGTGTGTCTTATACACCGAATACAGCATTTTTTGCCTCCTGAAACTCCGCCCTCTTCACCAAAATGGCCATGCATAGCCTTTAGGAGTCTTTCAGAGAGCTCCTGCGGGCTGGGGAGGGCAGAAATGAGTGAAAAACAGGCCGTTTCCCCCCCACCCCCAACAGCACTCTATAAGCTTCCTAAAGGTTTTCCATGCCCTTTTTTTGACACAAAACGGGCCCGTTTTTGCTCATTTTTGAAAAAGTGGGCCCGTTTTCACGAAAAACCGGCCGTTTTGGGGAGGTTTGCAGAGTGCAAAACCTTTTTTAAAAAAATGCTCCTCTTCAAAACTTTGCTGCGTCTTATACTCCAATGCATCTTATTTATACTCCGAAAAATATGGCAGCAGCTGGATTTGCTGATTTTAAAAAATGATATATGTGAAAATTGTGAATTTGAATTTATATTCAATTCTCTGCATTGAAAATAGCCTGCATGGGTTTGCGTCATGCAACACGGATTACCTTAAAATGAGATTGGATAGTTGGCAATTTACTTCCTTATGAATCTCAGCAGTTAACATTGCATAGTAAGTGAACCAGACTCTCTGCGTGTAGCACAGGAGTTTGTGTAAAAATAGCAGTTTTAATTGGTTAAGCTGGGTCTTAGGATAAATATACCATGTGAATCCAGCGAGTACGTTTCTATGGTTTAGGATGGTGGAGATCTTAGGGGAAGAATGCATTTACTTGCAGGGAATTTGAATTTGGTACTCTGATCTTTCCGGGCTGCCATATTGAGGGCTCAGGTTTTTCCTGAGATTTTGAGACATGTAGGTAGGTGTGGCTGCGTTACAGAAAAGGAGATATGGCCAACTTGACTGAAACTGTAGGCTATATAGTCCTTGGACATAAGTCTATGTGGGTTTTATATTTCGTTACCACCAGCTCACTGCGTGTGTGCCTACTTGCTTCACAGGAGCCCGCACCCCTTCCGCACATGCACCCGGCGTCAAAAATGTGCCTAAATAGGACGGCATTGAGATGAAGCGGGTGGGTGGGCCCAGCCACAATTTCCGCTACCGGTTCGGGCAAACCGGTCCGAACTGGCTGAATACCACCTCTGATTCTTATCCGCTTCCCTCACCGGAGGTGTCCAAACTTGGCAACTTTATGACTTGTGGACTTCAGCTCCCAGAATTCCTCAGCCAGCCATGCTGGCTGAGGGAGTCTGGGAGTTGGAGTCCACAAGTTTTAAAGCTGCCAGGTTTGGAGATTCCCCTGTTCTTGGTCATTCTTTCTTTGAGGTTTGGAGCAGTCTTGGGATGTCACAGCTCCCTCCTCCCCCCCAGCAGTCCACAGGTTGAGAACTACTGGACTAGACCATTTTTGGACGCTATCCCTATAACTGTCTTAACCAGGGATGTCAAATCCGATTTCATTGACGGCCACAACAGGATTGTAGTTGACTTCGGGAGGCGGGGGGGGGGGGGGGGGGGGCATGGCATGACCAGTAGGTGTGGCCAGCTCAACATCACTTGTGTCAGGGGCGCCTGTGGTGGCCTGAGCACTTTTCTAGCAAAACCAAGTTCCTGAGCTCCATTTTCAGCTGTGACGGCCTCCGGCAACCCTCTGCCAATGAAAATGGAGGCTCTCCCGAGCTCCATTTTTACTGGCAGAGGCACCGCAGGCCGGTCCTTTGTTGTTTCCAGAGCGGATCTAAGCATCTCGCAGCCTTGAGTTTGACACCCCTGGTCTCAACTATTCCGGATAATATTGCCAATAGATTTCACTGAGAATTGTTAGGGATTAAAGTGAGGGAGAAAAAGATCAGGCCCCATAGGGTTTGCCAAAGAATAAGCGGAGATAAATCCTTGCATAAATCGGAACCTTCTCTTTCTTGATTAGGCTTTTCTGTAGTTTTAACCGGAGACAAAACCTGTGCATTTAAAAACACACACACACACGCGCACACACCTACCTGTACAAATAACTGCATCTGAATCAGCCTCTTAAACTGTTAACGAATGTTGTTCTCTTTCCCCAGTGCGGTTCAGCCGAATATATGGCTCCAGAAGTGGTGGAAGCCTTCAGTGAAGAAGCGTCCATCTACGACAAGCGCTGTGATTTATGGAGCTTGGGAGTCATTCTGTACATCATGTTGAGCGGTTACCCCCCTTTTGTGGGTCACTGTGGGACCGACTGCGGCTGGGACCGTGGTGAAGCGTGCCCCGCTTGCCAGGTGATCATACTCAAGTGGGGCTTCATGTTTTCCAGCATTGCAAAGTCTTTTAACAAGTTCCATTAGCTTCTCCCTCTTTTTAGAAATGTCATAATTGGACGTGTTTTTTTAAACTGTTTTTAGATGTGCTGGGTTCTTTTCGTAATGTAACTTTCTCTTCCCACAGAATATGCTGTTTGAAAGCATCCAGGAGGGGAAATACGAATTCCCAGACAAGGACTGGGCTCACATCTCTTTCGAAGCTAAAGACCTCATTTCAAAGCTCCTTGTAAGAGATGCCAAAAAGCGTCTGAGTGCAGCCGAAGTCCTCAAGCATCCTTGGGTACAAGGGGTGAGCATCCTTGAGTGAAGTGGACAAAAGATGGCTAGGAAATTGTTTCTTTTGCCTTTCTGCTTATCTGGTGTGAAGGACTATTTATCAGGCAAGCTGGCTATGTATCTTGATCTCTCTCTCCCCCCCTCCGTCCATCATCTCGCTGCCTCTACCTGTCTCCATCCTCTCTGTTTCTATCTCTACCTATTTCCTCCCTCCCTCCCTCCTCCTCTCCATCTCCTCCCCTCTATTTCTGTCTGTCTGTCTATCATCTATCTATCTATCTATCTATCTATCTATCTATCTATCTATCTATCTATCTATCTATCTATCTATCCATCTATCTATCTCTATCTCTATATTTCTATCATCTATGTCTGTTTGTCTCGGAGACACACTAGGCAGTGCACAAATAAAATGTTAAAAAAGTAAAAACTAAATATAAAAATTTAAAATGGAGGCAAGAATAATTACAATTTAAAATTTAATTAAAAGGGAGGAGGAGAGATTTCAGGGTGCTAACCAGCCTCACAGCTGCATGCTGCCAAGTGAGGATATTCCGTGTTAATATAAGTTAAGTCGCCAAAGTTTTTAAAAAAAATAGAAGGCATGGCATTGATTGTAGCCAAAAACCCAATGTGAATAGATCCATGAAATCTCCAGTCATCAGACTTGATTGAAATAAGTTAAAATTTCAACAGTATTTCTCAACCTTGGGAACTTTGAGGTATGTGGACTTCAATTCTCAGAATTCCCCAGCCAAGCATGAGTTGAAATCCACATATCTTAGAAGTTGCCAAAGTGGAGAAACAATTCCTTCCATATTTGGAAGTCCCAGACATATATTCTTTTTTTTTTTGTAAAGTGAGTTTTCTGTCCATGTCCAGAGTGTACCTCCAGTAGTGAACCAGCACCTCCAGTATTTATTTAGAAATAGCTAGCTACAAGAGGAACATACGTTTGAATAGGGTTGGCATATCTCCATTGTACTTATTTAAATGTAACTTTAATTTTGTCATGGAAAAATGCAGAGAAGGTGTAACTTAAAAGGGTACAGGGGGTCTGCAAGGAGTTGTAAGCAGTGATTATTATGGTGCCGATTTTTATTTTTTATTTTTTGCTTCTAGTGTGCTCCTGATAACACTCTCCCCACTCCAATCATCCTACAAAGGTGAGTGAAGCATTACAGAAATAGTTTTAATAAATAAAGAACGTTGAGGTATACCTCAAATCTTTCTTACCATCTGTAGAGCATTATAGCCACGTATGAGGTTCTTGTCACTTGGGAATCTGTTTTTATTCAGAAACTAAATACATGGAAAGCAACAGCTTTCTTATCCTGACTTGCGTTATCAGCCTTTCGGTCATAAACCAGTATAACGTGTGTATAATTACCACTATTTCCATGGTAATTTTAAGGTGTGTAGAACTTCAGCTTAATAACAGGTAGTAGGGAATACCAATGGAAAATGAAAAGGTACGCCAGAAAATGTGGGCAGTTCTGCTGTTACCTCAGCCTTCCTTCAATGAGTTCTTGTATTTAGAAAATTGATATGCCTCCCCCTCTTTAAGCAAATAACTGGGTGGCTAACAATACAAAACCACGCTGAAATAAAATTCAGAATACATTTAACAGCGAATGAAATAAATGCAAGAGCTGAGCAAAATGGGACACAGTTGCAAACACACATATGTTTTGCTCTGCCAGCCCTGAGAGAAAAGTCCTTCTGGAAGTCGACATGATCAGTGCTTTGCAGACCCCGGGCCAGGCAAGAATTAGAGTTCACCGTCTGAAGCGTGTATAGTTCAGCATCGAGTAATGTAGCTCAAATGATGATTCCAGTGAAGTCCGTCCCACAGAGCTCCCGGGAGCAAACCTACAAAACCATAGTACAGCCTTTATTGTCGTTGTACATCATGTATACAAAGAAATTGGTTTTAGCCTCGCTAGTGCAATCCATGACAAAAAAAAAATACAAACAACATAAATAGCATAAAGGATAGTCCCTATACAAGTAATTAGGAAAAAAAGAAAGAAAAAGAAGAAACTAGTCATATGTTTCTGCGTGTGCCTGGAGTGATTGTAGTTGTGTTTAAGAGTCTGAGAGCCCAAGGATAGAAACTATTTGTTCGGCTGGCTATGCTTTGATGTCTTCCGCCCGATGGTAGAAGTGGGAAGAGACACAGACCAGGGTGTGAATCATCTCTGATTATCTTCCTCACTCTGCTAAAGCAGCGAGACCTGGCAATGTCATCCAGTGGTGTTAGAGGGCAACCAATAGTTTCTTGTGCCAAATTGATCATTCTCTGTACTGCTTTCCTGTCCACAGCTGTTAAACCAGCGTACCATACTGTTATACATTATATGATAACCAGAGGTGGGTTTCTGCAGGTTCACCCGGCTCACCCACCCCTAACGCTTCTGCACATGTGCAGAAGCGGTAAGCGCACACGAGCAAACTGGTAGTAAAGTCAATTGAAACCCACCACTGGTGAGGACACTTTCTATCGTGGATTGATAGAAAGAGATCATCAGCCATTGTTCCACCTGATTTTTTCGCAGGACTCTTTAAGGAAATGAAGTCTCTATAGGGCCTTTGCCAATCGCCAGAGACGTGTTGTTTTTCCAGATTACAGACAATCCTCGACTTACTACCACAGTTGAGCTAACATTTCTATTGCTGTGTGAGACAGTAGTTAAGTGAATTTTTCCCCATTTCATGATCATTTTAGCCACCGTTGTTAAGTGAATTGCTACAGTTATTAGGTTAAGTCACACAGTTGTTAAGTGAATCTGGGTTGCCCATTGACTTTGCTTGTCAGAAGGTGATCCCAGGACCCCAGGACACTGCAACTGTCATAAATATGAGTCAGTTGCCCAGTGTCTGTTAGTTAGTTTGCCTTATTAATTAGCCCTTGGGCCATGTCAAAGTGCAGAGTTATAGACACCAATTATTACTAAAATCCAATAAAAACAGTTTAAAATGGAATTGGATAAAATACAATTGAAAATGAAATTGGAATAAAATATGATTTAAAATGAAATTGGAATAAAATACAATAATTTTAATATATAGATAAATAAACTATGATCAAATTACATTTCGGTATCACCCCTACAATTTACCCCGAACCATTTTGCTCAGCTCCTGTGCTGTGTTAAATAAATGTCATTTCAGCCTGAATTTTGATCATATGATTAGGGCGATGCTGCAACAGTTGTAAATTTGGGAAAAAAAACCGGTGATAAACTGCTTTTTTTAAGTGTTATCGTAACTTCAAATGAACTGTTACTGTATTTTTCAAACTATAAGAGGCACCTTTTTACCCAAAAGAAGAGGGTGAAAAATCTGGGTGCGTCATATACACTGAATGCAGCATTTTTGTCCTCCCGAAACCCCACCTCCTTCGCAAAAATGGACTGCAGAGGGTTTGGGAGGCCTGCAAAATATTCTTGGGGGGTTGCAGAGGGCAAAACAAGTGAAAAACGGGCCGCTTTTTCCTCGTTTTTGTCCCCATAGGCCACAGGAGCACTCTACAAGCCTCCCAAAGCCTATGCATGCCCCATTTTTCACAAAAAATGAGGCGTACAGAGGGTTTGGGAGGCCTGCAGAGTGCAGCACTTAAAAAAAAATTACCTCTTCAAAATCTTGGTGCGTCTTATCCTCCGAAAAATACAGTAATTCGAGGACTGCCTGTAATCCCAGGTCCCAAATTATTCTCCTGCATCCACCCTTTTTTAATCCATTGAGTTGTGGGATATGCTCGATTGTGGTCGTAATTTGCTTTCTTGTGGTTGCCCCCTTGGTAGGAACAGCAGTGCCAAAGAGTTGACCTCGTTTGCCGCCGAAGCCATTGCGGTCAACCGTCAGTTAATGCAGCACGAGGAGGAAGCTGCGGAGGAGACTCACCCCATTATCATCAAAGCTACCTCATGCTCTATGCACCTCTCTCCTCCCTCCGAATCCAAGCTGGCTAAACGGAGACAGAAGACAAGCATGGCTAAAGCGAACCCCACCCAGCATCTGGTGACTCCCTTGGTCTTGGTTGGGGATCACATGTGACTGCCTTTCCTTCTATACGTCCATTCTCCCTCTCACTCCCCCAAGCCCTTTGTGTCTCTTCGGACAAAAAGGTCTGCTTGAATAGCTTAACAAAAAGACCAAGATCAAGTTGGCTGGTTCCCAAGGATTCTTTTCTGTCTATGATCTTGTTCTTGACGCACATGGCTGTTTTGTTTCTTGTACCTTTTTGTTTCTCTCTTTCTCTTTCCCTCTCTCTCTCTCTCTCCTTCTCTGAAAAAAAGCTATTTAAATTCTATTTCTCCCTTCCCTTGTTTCCCCTCTTCCCAGTGTATTTTGATGCACAAGTAATTTTTGCTTAAAAAGTTAAAAAAAAAGGCCCCTTCCTCCCCACTGAAGGGGCTTCTGTTCTTTTCTTTCTTCCCCCCCCCTCCCTTCTCTCAGCTTCTTGTACTGTGAAAGGAGGGGAGGGAGAAAACCTTCCCCTTGACTGTCCGACCCCCCCAAGCCTGAACTTTTAAACGTAGCATTTTTATGTTTGGAGAGTGTTTGCTTTTTTTTTTTTTTTACGTTTATTTTAATTTTGTTCTTGCTATCGGTTTCTTTTTTTAAAAAAAACAAACATAAATAAATAACTACTTGGATTCTGTATGGTTTGAGGGTGGGTGGGGGATGGGGATTTATCTTTATCTTTTTTCCCCAAAAGCACTGGAGTGACTTAAGGGGGAGGGAGGGAAACAATTACAGTCCCTGGATTGTATGAATGTTCATTTATGGGGGAAATGTAGGGAAAATTGCAGAGTCTTCCCTAAAACTGTGTAGATTCTATAAGCTGAAAGTAGTTGTATCTGGGATATAAACAGAAGGGGGAGTTGGGAAGAGGAAATCCATACATATAGGGATAAATTCCTTCTCCCCACCGTTCTCCCCCTGGCACCGTTCACAGCACTTATTTTGTATTTTGTTAGTTCTTTTTTTTTTCCTCAAGGGGCCAAGCTGTGGATAACACAAGAACCCTGTTTTGTTTCAATCCAGATGTGTCCTATTAACATGGGAGGGGTCCAATATTTTTTTTGTAAGAGCAGAAGGGATGCATGTTTTGGGATCTACCATAGTGGAATCTAATCCCTTATGGTTTTTCCCCCCGTTTGATACAGAGAGATAAAAGAAAGGTGGAAAAAGTTATAGTAGAAAAGAAAGATTTTACTACCTTTCATAGAGTAAGCCATTGTTTCTCAACCTTGGCAAGGTTGAAGACGTGTGGAACTTCAACTCCCAGAATTCCCCAGCCAATATGGCTGGCTGGGCAATTCTGGGAGTTGAAGTCCACATATCTTCAAACTGACCAGGCTGGGAAACATTGAAGTATAAGCTATTGGGAGGGGGGGAGAGTGAGGCTTAATCTGAAGAGAAGGTAGTCAACATTAATTAAACCATCCTCTGCAGGGCTGGTAAAAATCTTTGCAAAGATAGTCATAGAGGTGTGTATAATTGCTTCAGAGTTTGCAAATCTAGGATGCCCTTGTAGATTAAATTCTTATCGTGGCAGAATAGTTTATGGCAATCCTTTACAACTTTTGCTGACTTTTTATTTTATTTTATTTTTAAACCCAAGGTGATGTGTTGTTTGATCTCCCCATCCCAAAGGCAGACTATGGCTTGAGGGAATTATTTCAAAATATTTCTGAGTCTTTGGAGCCTTTTAAGCTTCGGTTCTACTTATTCTGAACCAATATAGATAGAATTCCTCAGGGATGGTTGCTTCCTACGGGGACGAATTAATGTGGGGAACCTCTATCCTCCCCCTTCCCCCAATCTCTACAGAGCTACAGTTCCTATAATTGTGGGTTTTGTGGTGAGAAAACAACCACCAATCTAGTTTAAAGCTAAACCTGCTGTAAGCTTGTGAATCTGAGGGAGCAGGGGCCGAACTATGAATCAAACTCAGGATGATGCATTCAGATGTGCTAAAATGGTCAAATGCCTGCTTTTTGGAAGGAAGGAAGAGAAACACTTGGATGCGTGTGGTGTCTCATATAGAGAAGGAATTAGAAGATTGAGTGATACCTTTTTTAATGGGTGAAATTGAAACAGTGAGCAAGTAGCATATTGGGGTGAAATTCTGGGAGAAGGTTATCGAAGAAGGATGTGAAGAGAGACAAAAATAGTATTTGGTTAGTGGTCCTCTTTGGCATCCACCACCTTCTCATCACCCTTTCTGGCCAGAATGTAAGCATCAAAATAAGGATTGCCAATAGGTTGTGCTGTTGCCGTTTGGCCCTCATCGTTTTCTCCATTCCTCCATTGTATCCCAGTGTTTAGCATCTAAGCATTCTGGGAATTGCCTGCATTGTGAGGCCACAAGGCTCAGGAGCATTCTGGGAAATTAAATGGCAGATCCAAACTATTGGATGAGGAAGGGTGCTTGGTGGCTGCCTGTTGATGCTTAGTCTAGAGGAGGGGGCCAACCAGAGAGCATTTCGGTAGGGTCTCCTTCAATCTGGATACTAATCTTCGATATGAGAACTGTCCTCAATGTTTGGTCAGCCCATATCCGGTTCACCATGAAATCAGTCATGGCGTATGAGAGGATGTTCTTTTATGTTAATAGGCCAAGAGCTGAAGGGGGAGAAAGGCATACCATCTGCCTCTTAAAAACCATGGCAACTTTAAGACCCTATGGACTTCAACTCCCAGAATTCTCCAGATAGCCTGTCTGGCTAGGGGATTCAGGGAATTGGAGTCCACAAATCTTAAAAGTTGCCCAGAGTTGGACACCCCTGACTTAAAGTCTGGAATATAATGAAACATGAAGGTGTTTTCCTGGAAATTTAAGACTATTGGCTGTTTGTGTCCATTGGGGGGGAGACTCAATCCCCCCCCCCCCGGCCCCCCGCNGCTCCAACAGTAGCGACGGGCCTCTGCTGCTGCTCCCGCCGCCTCAGGCAGCGCTGCCGTCCCCGCCTCTCTCCGTTGCTTCGCCTCAGGCCTCCTCCTCCACCTCCGGGCCTACGCATAACCACGGAGCGGGAGAAAGGGGCAGCAACCCGCTGCCGGTGGTGGCCAGCGGGGCTGCGGCGGCGGCCGCTGCTTCGCTTTCGGGCCCGGCCTCCTCTTCGCCTTCGCCGCCGCCGCTCGGGCGGCGGGAGACGGCCTACAACTGGCAGGCGACGAAGCCGACGGTGCAGGAGCGCTTCGCCTTTCTGTTCAACAACGAGGTGCTCAGCGACGTCCACTTCTTGGTGGGCAAAGGCCGCGCCGGCGCCCAGCGCATCCCCGCCCACAGGTCGGAGAAGGGGGCTTTTGGGGTGGGGGGCTCTTTCTGAGGAAGGGGGGTCTTGGGGGAAGAGAAATGGGGGAGTCGGGCCCCTTTCCTTGGGGGGGGGGGGCTTGGGAATTGGAAAGGGGGGGAGGAAGGGGGTGCAGAGCCCCCCCCATCTCAAGGAGGAGAAAGATAAAAGATGGAGGTCCTGTCCTTGGAGAGAAGGAATAGAGTAGCTATTATCAGTAGGGCTGATTTATGTGGGGAAAGGAGAAGTCTGTAGAGGCCCTGGAGATGTTTAGGGGGGATGTCAATCATTGAAGGTGAAATTGAGACCTTTGGGGGTGAAATTGAGACCATTCCTAGAATGGAAAGGGGCCATTGAGATCATGGAGTCCACCCTCCTGCTCAGTGCAAAAAATAAAAATAGCAAGTTAAAGCATCCCGAGGGAGGGCTGGTCTGCTCCTGCTTGAGGCTTCCAGCAAAAGGGAGTGTCCCTCTCTTGTCCTCCAATGTTATGCTGGACTATTCCGCAGCTGGAGGAAGGAACAAGGGTGGTAGATTTAGGGTAAAGAGTAAGGGGCTCGGGGAGGCTGAAATGAAGGAGGTAGGGTGGTTAGGGGTTGAAGAGTGGGGAGACTGGCATTGGGGTGGGGAAAGACAGGGTGGAGGGTGAGTGGGGAATTAACCAGAAGGCATTCAGTAGAGTTTATTGCCGACAAATAGCTTTCGAAAAAGGCTGCTTTTCCATTTTTGGGTGGCTCGTTGGTGGGACTGGGTTGAAGGTGTGAGGATTGTGCGCAATAGGGTGCAGGAGTTCAGAAGTCAGGCAAAGCCGAGTTAAATTTGACCTGGCTTTCACAAATACAAGTCGAGCATTCTCAAATGCAGAGTTCAGATTCATTGTGGGGTTGCTGATTTTTCTGTGCAGTGTCACAACTGAACCGAAGAGGCTGTGGACCACTTTTTGCTTAATGCACCCATGGGCGAGACTTAAAATAATATGTTAGCTAGAAGGGGTGGTTGCGTTGGAAACTCCGGGGAAGACTTGCTCCACAACAATTCCAAGGGAAAGGCTTATTCCTTTGCAGCCAGTGATCAAGCACTAAGATAGTTGGTACCAGTCTGTGCTGGGTTTGCTTGAGGTTGCTGCTGGTGGGGGTGGTGTTGTGATCTGATTGTGTCGTTTGATTTGTACAGAACTATTAAATAACATGTTCCTGACGATGTTAGGAAATTATTTATTAATATCTCTCTGTGTGAAATCTTATAACAATGTGAATTAATTTCAGTAAGTTTGCAGCATCACGTATCTCAACTTCTACGCCCATTAACGCGTTGCTATAACACTGAAACCATATCTGTTTGCTGCTTCTAAATAGAGCTTTTGTACTACTTAAGAATGGAATTCAAAATCCTGACCAGGAGTGCAGTGCATCTCATGACACTTTTGCACAACAGACCTGATGCTGGCTAAGAGTAAGGGGAGCAATTGTAAAATGAAAGCTTTCTGTTTAAAACTCTCTTTATGCATGTTAAGATACCAAAAGGAACATTTTTCTTGAAGCTGCTGAATTTCACAGAGCTTTACAGAATTAAAGACTAATACTTACATGACAGTGTAATATTTTTCCAGAATATGAATTTTTTTTTAAAACCAGTGCTGTTGACTTGAGCTAAATACAGGTAGTCCTCAAATTACAAACAAAATTGAGCCCCAAATTTATGTTGAGAAATTTGTTGAGTTTTGCCCCATTTTACGACTTTTTTGGCCACATTTGTAAAAATGATTCACTACAGTTGTTAAATTAGTGACACAGTTGTTAAATGAATCTGGTTTCTCCACTGACTTTGCTTGTCAGAAGTTTTCAAAAGGTGATCAGATGACTCTGGGACACAGCAACTGTCATAAATGCTAGTCAGTTGCCAAGCATCCGAATTATAAATCACATGACCATGGGGATGCTGCAATGGTTATCAATGTGAAAAATGGTCATAACTCACTTTTTTCAGTGATGTTGTAACTTTGAGCAGTCACTGAGTGAACTGTTGTAAGTCGAGGACTACCTGTACTCATGTTTGCATCATGAGGCCAATAACGTGCTTGTCCCTTATTCTTTGTTTTTGTTTTTGTTTTGTCCTATAGCAAAACAGCTTTTGATAAAAGGTCCTGAATTTGTTGTTAAGGACTTACAAGAGTAAACCTTAACACAGTTGTAAAACATTTATTGACAGAAGTTAAAAAGTCTTTGAACTGTCTCCTCCCCCTCCTTTTAACAGCCTTCTGATCTGGAGTCAGAGAAACCCTTCTCCTCTTATAAAATGCAATGTTTCCTTAAAGTCAATAGATCATTGACAGGCAGGAAATGAAATTTAGCACCTCTGCCTGGCCAGGAAGATCTCTGCTGATATAAAGAAGGTAACAAACAGAATACTGTATTTCCTGTAGCCATAAAAAGCTATATTCCCTGCTTTCTCATGGCAGTAAGACCATATTTCACTTATACCAAGGCTAAAAAAAACATATATAAACCTTGCTTGATGTGCCAGCCCGTTGCCGGCTGTCCCAGAAACAAGCTTTGCACTATTTCTGAACCAAATAAAATAGAGAAACTTCTTCCCAAGCAGCTGCTTTTTGTGTCTTCTTTCCTCGGAGAAAGGAACCCCGGGGAGATTCTAACAACATATATACGATTTAAACTACCTTTAAGCAACTTTATTTAGACATTGTGTGCTGTACCCACAATTGTTGAAGTATCTACTTTTATTTCAGCCTGTGTATCCTGGAATCTGATTGAATGAATTTTCCGCATCATTCTCAGCAGTATCATTTATGTAAATCTTAACTCTGGGGGAATGAAACGGGGTACTTAACTATGGAATAAAAATAGGTGAAAGACTGAGAACGGAATCCAGTCAAATGAGGGCTTTTCTTGTTTGTGTTTTCATATGTCAGGTTTGTGCTGGCTGTGGGCAGCGCGGTCTTTGATGCCATGTTCAATGGCGGGATGGCTACAACCTCCACGGAGATAGAATTACNAGTTGGATCTGTCTCCCCTCCAGACTATTCCATATAAATAAAGACTATTCCATATAAATAAAAAACATATAATGACCTACTTCTAAAGGTGTGGACAATGCTGTGTGAGGTTTCTTCAGGCAGTCAGACCAAACTCTGAAACTTTATAACTTCGCTGCAGAATTCTATAACTGGAAATCAGTGAGTCTAATTCTACATTATACCCTGGTCTGTAGCTACCTCTAGTGTTCAACGGGTAGATTTTACATCACAGCTGCCAAAATTTCTAATGTTCAAGTACACTTTTCATTTCATGCCTGCAACACAGGGGTGAAATTCAGCAGGTTCTGGAGAACCAGTAGCGGAAATTTTGAGTAGTTCGGAGAACTGGCAAATACCACCCCTGGCTGACCCCAGAGTGAGGTGGGAATGGAGATTTTGCAGTATCCTTCTCTGCCATGCCTACCAAGAACCGGTAATAAAAAAAAATTGAATTTCACCACTGCTGCAACATGCACAGCTCCAGAATTTGGGGGTGGTGGAGGTGGGGATGTTATGTTCCTCCCAAATGAACAGAATGAAATGCATCTTCCACTGGTTGTTAGGTGACCAGATTTCCCCCCCTGCAACATAGAACCAATATAACTTTAAAATAATTGTTTTGGCTTCAAGATAAAATCAATATAACAAGAGCCAGTTTGGTGCAATGGCTAAGGTGCTGGCCTAGAAACCAGGAGACTTGGGAGTTCTAGTCCCACTTTAGGCATGAAAGCCAACCGGGTGACTTGGGGCCTGTCTCTGGCTCTCAATCCTGAGTTTCCTTCTGCAGCTTTGATACTTTTATACTTCAGGAAGAGGCATCCTGTTCCTTATAACAATTCTATTAGCAGAGAATAAAGATGATGTTAAGAAGCTCCAATTATGACTTTTTCATTACAGACATCCCTTTCAACCCAATGCTTTCTGAAGGGTCTTAGTAAAGTAATGGCAGCAAAATAACAATAATGTGCATAACTTGTTTGCTGGAGCATGGACATTAATCAATGAGCAGTAGTAAGCATATGCTTTTAAATGACATGATTCTTCCTTGGAACATGGAACAATTATCAAAAGGACCATTACCCTTTGGATAATTAAGGCTAGGAAGAAAGCCATTATCCCAATGGATAATGATTTTCTTTCAACAGCTGGTCAAGTAGTCCAGCCTTACTCTTTTTCTGGTTTCTGTTAATTGTCACCTGTCTTTTTTCCCCCCCCAGGAATCAGCCTTCAAGAAAGAGTTGACGNCCCCCCCCCCCCGGCCCCCCGCTTGCTCTGAGACAAATGTAGCTCCAGGTCCTGCTCTCAAAATTTCTCGAAAAGACTACGCACACATCCAGATTGTGAAAACATTTGTACATAAATCAGTATTGCATCAGGATGGGGATTGGAAAATATTCTTGAATGTGTGTGTGTAGTGCCTTGATAACGGTGGCAGTTGTGACTAGGCTGTGGGTGGGCAGATACTTTTTTGCCATGCTCAAATCTTAGTACCGTAGTATTTCTGCCTTTATGCATAAGCTGCAGGGCAAGCAGCCCTAGGGATTTTGACTTGGGAGCTGCTCCTACTGAATACTTTCGGATTTGCTTATCCAAGTATGTGTAGGACTGGTGGATGGCTGAAGGACTGCCTTTCTAAGTGTAAAAGTATGGGTGGGGAAGCTTACTGAATCGGTTAGACTTCAGAGCAGGGGGCCTCCAATCTTGGCAACTTTAAGCCTGGAGGACTTCAACTCCCAGAATCCCCCAGCCAGCAAAGCTTAAAGTTGCCAAGGTTGGAGACTCCTGCTTCAGAGGACCCAAAGGGAGGATCAACCAGTTAGTTTCACTTTGGAGGTGAGCGTTGTGGTTGAAATCTAGCTAGGAAAGTGGTTTTAAAACTTAGCGTGGTTTGCTGTGCGTGGCAAGGGAGAGTTTTAGCTTAAGGCCAGTTTGGCCTGTTTGATCTCCTTTCTAAGCCTTAGGATTATTATTATTTTTGAAATCCAGTGATAATAAGGTGGATCCTCCCCAGGACTTGGGTAGAATTGGTTGAACAGCAATGTAGTATCAACTCAATCTTGAGCGGTTGTAGCAGAACATCTGCTGGTGACTTCAGCTCCTGTCCAGATGTGCACATGTGGGCGTATGTGATCTTAAGAACGATGCTTGTCTCTGAATAAAGACTTTCTAAGTAACAATACTATGCAAAGAAGTTTGAATCGTTTTGCTGAGAGAGTATTTCTTTTTTTCAGATGCAGGATAGTTGATTTTTTTTGTGGGGGGGGGATAAGTGTGGAGGCTTGTAAGATAACTCGACACCTCCTTCCTTTTCTACTTTTTGATATTTTTCTCTGCTTTCTTGACAGAAGGTAAAACAGATGGGATCTCCCTTTTTAGTAATTATGCTTTGCTTGTTGTGACTTTCGTGGTCTTTTCCAACAGACGCGCTTTCATTAAGGGATGGGGGGTAGGAAGACGGTACTGCCTGAAATAACGAGGTGCAGAATACACTGGTTAGCTGAGCAGGCTACGTAATTGCGCAAATTATTTTAAAATCAAAGAACATCTTTATCATACGATTCAGGACGAAATAGGTATGGGTTTTGTCACCAATGATAAATCTTAAATCTTGTGGCCAGAAATTACTTGAATGAATAGTGTGGGCCCTTATTGCCCCTGAAAGCTATAGCCCAGTGATGGTTAACTTTTTCAGCACCAAGTGCTGAAACGGGAGCACATGCGCTGGAACCCGGAAGAGCAACTGGTGCTGGCACGCATGCCCACAGAAAGGGCTCTGCGTGCCACCTCTGGCCATAAGTTCACCATCACGGCTATAGCCTATAGCTTCTAAATTGCCTGATGTTTAATCCTTTCAGGATTTAGAAGCAAAGGAAGCGGCTTCCAGTGTGGATGTTCTCAGTCAGAAGGTTTCAAGGGGTGTGATGGGATATAATTTGCTCCGTTCTTGCTTTTTTTGTTGCTGTTTATGCTGTGTCTATCCTTCAAAAGAAAGATAGCTTTAAGAACAGTTCATCAAAAGTTAGGAATGTATTTGTACACTGATTTTGCTTTCCCTCAAGAGCATCCATTTCCCAGAAGTGACGTGGTACCTGTATTCAGTTGAGCATTTTAGTTTGATCACCAACAACTCTCAACCTTCGATCCTCGGGCCAGTGTGCGTGGCAGGTTCATCTGAAAAACAGTTGTCCCCAACTATTTGGGATACTACTTTGGGAGAAGGAACACTTGCCTTCTACTTCCCTCTGTTTCATTCTTAAAGGGCGAAAACAGGGGGGGGGGGCTGTGATGCTTATAGTATGCTGATAGGTTGGGAGCGATGGACAGTGGCTTTCAAACCAGCATTCTTAGTTGAAACGTGTAATCTTTTTTAAACAAGTCTCAGGATTATTATGTCAACACGTGAAGGTCTTTCACTCTTCATTCGTGCCTGATATTTAAGAAACAAAAACATCCTAGGTAATTTATGAAGCGTTCGGAATTGTGTGACGGGCTTGTTGCACAGTTACAAAATAAAATCATGTAGATCACCGAATAATAATAATAATAGCTTTTGTATCCTCCCTTCTGTGTGTGGGTCATCTTAACATACATAGAGCCCTTCTGTGCAGGGTTGCACATTTTCTTTTAGTACGTGCAAGAGCAGTGGGTCAGAATTGTGACCCCGGGAAAGTATGCTTTTTAGTTGGTGAGGTTTTTAAAGCAAATAAATTGTCTTTGATGGGTGGGGTGGGTGAAGTAAAGCAATCTCATATAAAAACACTGCTAAGATCATACCTTACTCTGGGATGGTGTATCTGATCTGAATAATCTTGAGTGAAAGGAGTCAAGTGTATCCAAAAGTGAAATCTGTCCTACCTTACCTGTTATGAAAGGATGATGTTTCTATGCCCATTGAAATGGGTGGTATGGTTTCTTGGCACTGGGGTGGGTTTTTTTTTAAAAAAGGCTTCTGTCAGAATAATGTAACTTGCCTTAACTTGTTTCTTTTGCAATGTGGAATTTCCATCTTGGTTTGGGGTTGATTTTTTTGATGAGATGAAGGTGCATCGACTTCAGGTTTTGAATGAAATATGTGAAGTGCATCCGGATCCCATCCTGGAGGGAAATAACTGTAAACCATGGGTGGCTTTTCTACACTTGATGAAATAGCCCCTGCTGAAATTTCATCAATGGGTGATTGGATTGAGAAAGACTTAGGAATTCAGCATTTGAGGTGCATCCTTTCCCAAATCTAGTGGGAAAGAAGCAGCTAAGCTAGAAATGGTTGTTTTCCATGTTGAGTTTTCTCTGACGACTTCAAGATGGAGATGGTGGAAGAAAACGGAACCCACTTTAATACAGAGGGACTGAATTAGCACCATAGAAAACAAGGTGACTTCAACCTCAAGTAAATCTTGTCTTTTTCCAGGGGGTTTGAAAACAGAATTATCATTTGTAGTATTTTACGCCTTTGGCAATATCTCTCTCTCTCTTCGATTCCGTTTCTTGTTCCTAATTTCAACCCTGGACAGAGATGAAACTTTTTCCTCGGTGAGCAGTTTTTAAGGCTTGCATTATCTAATTTCCACACCTCACCCAGAGGGATGTGACTTGTGGTGGTTTTGGATTCTGAAACCTGCAATCTCCACTTACCTGGAAGCTGCAAGGTTGGAAAAAAGCAGTCTAGACTTCTTTCCCACCTCTTGATTTTCCTTCCTGTCCTTCCCTGTATTCCTTTTGTGTGTGTGTGTGTGTGTGTGTGTGAGACCAAAATTGGTGGTGCTTAGATTTCCTGCTTCTTGATTCAGTTGGAATGAGAGGGATGGGAGAGATGAGAGAGCTTGGAGGTATTTAGACTACTCGAGCTCCTTTGGATCAAACCCCAGGAATTCTGTGAAATGGGCCTATAGCTTCTCTCCACTGGGGAGCCTTAAAACATTGTCCTGTTTTGTACAGTTCCCTAGATTTGGAAGCCCAAAGAGTTAAACTGTGTTAAAGGTCACTAGTTCTTATGAAGAAATAGACTTGTGTCTCTGGACAGACATAGGAATGCCTCCAACATGCTCCCTTGACATCTCAACCATCTTATTTTCTCTCAAGATTGCTTTCCATATACTTATAGTTTGCATTGTGTTAACTTTCCAGTTAGTTGTGCGCAGATTATTCTGTTCTTGCCAAAATTACTTTCAAACTTTTGTATCCCACACACACACCCCTCAGTATTTTTCTTTGTAAAAACGTTTATTGGAAAGCATCTTGTCTTGTACCTCCACGAGTTTTAATTAGCTGCATATATGAGGACAGGAGAATGTCTTGATGCATCTTTGACTTAATGCCCTCCTCTCCTCAATTTAAGTCTATTTAGAACTGGTTATTTAGCATTTTACTGTGAAGTTGGTTTCTTTTTTTTTCCTTTTTTTTTTCTTTTATGAGAAAAATCAGTTCAGGAAAAATATTTTCCTCTGATTACCATAAAAGACTGCCAAAGGTTTTGTTTTCTGACATAAAGTCACCTTAATGCACCACTGGGGACTATAGATGCAAGAGTCCTTCAGCAAGGGACTGGTTTGAAAATGACAAATTTAAAAAAAAACTTTTAAAATCTTTAAAAAAAAACAAAGCACTTTATTATGTACCAGGTGAACTGATTCAGCTTGATGGAACTTTTTCCTTTGTAACACCTTGTTGATGCCAGAATTTTTTGTATTCTGTTTTGTAAGAATTTAATAAATGCATTGAAACATGTGAATGTCTTCTTCTTTTTTTTGGACTGATGCGTATTTAATAATTTAAATATTGGCAGGTTTTGCACAGTGGCATGAACTGAAATGGGAGTAGCTGCTTGACTTTGTGTAGGCATAGAAACTGCTGGCCTGGGGAGCATTTAGAGCAGAAACTAACAAGAGTAGACTACAAAATTGGGGGGGGGAAATATTGTAGAAGGCAGTTACCTCCATTGGTTGCTAAGAAAACTTAACAGATGTGTCTGCATAGCCATCAAGAATGAAGGGACATACTTTATTATGCACTAGCCGATAACCCAGCATTGCACAGGTATTTATTTATAGGGGGAGAATGTCCAGACCAAATGTAATTTCTAATGTTGGATTTTCCCCCTTACCAGAGAGAGCCCCCTTGTGGAGTACTGTGAAGCCGTTACTCCACTGCGCTGTACAGTAGAAGCCATTTTAAGGCACAACAGGCTGTATCTTAAGAGAACACGCACCCCGAGGGATTTTAGGGGTATCTTACCCCCCCACAGTATTTGTTTCCAGAAGGTAAATCATCTGTGTACCAAGTTTGGTTGAAATTGCTTGAGGCATTCCAGAGTTATGCTGGAACATACACACACACAGCCGTTTTTAGATAGATAGATGATAGATAGATAGATAGATAGATAGATAGATAGATAGATAGATAGATAGATAGATGATAGATAGATAGATTATATGAGTCAAGGCTTGTTCCATGTATTAGTATTAAATCGTATTAAGCTAGGCAAACCATTCTTTGCCACATGAAATAGCAAATCATGGTTCATTTAATCATGGGTTACTACTGTGATTCATATGTCATGACTTTTATCCTTTGCAAGTTCTATGTAAAAATTGTAAGGGGGAGGATGAGTATTGTTTGTCCTTTATTTAGAACACTCTGGGTCTGACGTTAGCAGTTAAAAGAAGTCACCACTATCTTCTCAAGGATTCCTTGTATGTCTGTCAACTAAAGCTGCTCTGCATTTAGGGAAGGATTAATTAGCTCATGATTTAAGGTGAGGGCCAAGATGAACTCAACATGGGCCAAAATATCCAGGGAGCTGGAAACTTGGACACCCACTCAACCAGAAATGATACCAGGAGATATCTTGGAATGCTTTTACTGGTCCCAAAGGTAATGATGGTGAGGATAATGGAGCAACAACATACATGGGCTGCCCTTGAAGATTGTGCATCATTTAAATCTGGTCCAGGAACTGCACTGGATGCAGTTCCAGATTCTACCTTAACCACCTTTCAAATCCTGCTTTCTTTGGGCCTAAATATCTTCCAAGTCCCCTGCTTTAAAACAAATCTCATCTAATAAGTTATGGGAGTGAAAATATTTTGAGGGTTTCACATGGCACCGATTCCATGATTGTTAACTCCCCTTCTGTGGAACAGATTCCCCGTTGGGTTTTTGCAGTCCTTGACTGAGGGCTTCAGTGAATGTTAACTTGAGCACTTATTATCCCTTGTTTAATCACTGTCTTCTGATTCGATTAAATCCAGCCTGTAATTGAGTGGCATCATGGCAGCTGAATCAAAATTAATTGAGCTACACCTGCTACCAAGTTTTCAAACTTTTTCAGGTAGTGGAACCGGTCAGTTAAAATATTGGAACACCCAATTGTGAAGCAAAGCTCTGGTAAAAAAGCAGATGTGCCTGAGTGAACTTTTTTTTAAAATATACCACAGAAGTCTTAACATTTCATGGGACAGTAGAAAGGTCCTGATGTTAAAGAATCTTCATTGCTTACTTACAGTATATACACCTTTATTCTCCAGTAAGTAGATTAGAGGGATGGTGGATGGATGGTCAGGCAGACAGACACACAAACAAACATTCATTATATAATTATGATTAAACAATATATACTTAATCTATACCTTTTGCTTCCCTGCCCTAAATTCAGTACAATATTTCAATTTTCACTATGGAATTGGTCACTATACTGGAAAACCTAAGTGGGCACATTAGATCTTTAAAACAATGAGTTTGAAACACTTTTGTTATTACCCAAATCAAAGTAAAAAGGCAGAGGGTTTTTTTTTTTTCATTTTGGCTATACTGACTTGTCCTTTTTACAAATATTTTGGGCTACAAGCAAATTCATCTATACCTCCCAATATAAAGCAGCTGTCGGTGACAGGCTGAGTCACAGGAAAGGCAACATATCAGGTTTTGTGATGAGTCCACATCTCAAAACAGTAGCAAACTTAATGGCTACAGCATGGAACTTTCCTGAGTCATGTGGTTTGTCAAAGTATCTGCTGAAAATAATCCATACACTCATTTAAATTCCTTGAAGAAAATTCTAAGGGCTGCGTCATAAATTTGAGACTGAAAGGACTGCTGAGAGGAGCTACTTCCAAGGTTGATTCACAGCGTTCTGACATAACATGGTTTGCTTTAGTG